TTCCATATCACGCTTTGTTTATGCAATTTGTTTTATGTCTCATCTGACCGTATACTATAAGGTGAAAGAAAACGTACAAATTAGAATGCACAAAACTAGATGGCATTCACATGGAAATTCCTAGTGCTAAACAGAATTTTGAGTATTTTTTTGACTGTGTTATAATCAATGCTTCTCAGTCTTATAAGTATGAATTCTTTCATTACTTTCCAGCATTTTTTCCATTTAAGTAATCTATCATCTTGTTCGTTACCTTTTATTTAAATTCACTTTTCCATTCCATAGCATCAAAGAATTTTCTCATCCTCTGAAATCTATTTTCATCCTTGCTCATCTTCTGTTGTGCTCCTCTTCATGTGTACTGCCATTGTTTTTGCATTGTTAATAAAAGCTACATATGTTAATCAATGTCTTTTGGTATGACATGTGTACTTTTCGAGCTGAGCTTAGTAACTTGTACCTTGTGGTGTAGAGCTCAGAATCCGGGACTCGAACTTTGCATGAAGCCGATCGGCGAAGATTATTCTTGTGTAAAGCAGATATGGAGTTGCTTTGCATTTCCTCATGCTCGAGTTCAGTCCACTTGTAGCCTTTACATTGTAAAAGGCCTTTCATTAAAAAGGTCTTTGTATCTAACTGGGTGTTTATATTCTGTCTGTGCAGTCTTGTTCTAGATTCTCACGTGTCAAACCGTTTGTCATTGTATCCCAGGTTAATGTCATGGGTAACTTGTTAGCCGTGGAAAAACAAGAAACTCATAAACCTGGACAAAAAACATTGAAGTGTCTTGAAATTATGTTCTTGATCAGGTCTGAGCTTTAATCCGGACCTGATTAGCTGTTTAAACTCCTGAATACAGTTTATATATTTACCAGTCGTACATTCGTCCTCGTTGTTATCGTTTTCATGTGCGCTCCGAGAGAAAAGTTAATTGTAAAATCGGCTCTCTGGTTTCTTTCTATATCCGGTGTCTGATGTTGCTTATCACATAGGTGATTACTGTTGTAATATAATAAAAGCGATAGGCATCTTTATTATTTTGCATTTATGATGGTTAAATTCCATCCACCTTTATTTGAACTATATTTGTTCAAGCTTTTTATTCCTTGCAGTCTTATTCTGTTAATAATCTTCTCATCAGCATTTATTATCAGCATGCAACGAAGTGCAAGATTCAGTTAAATCTGATTGCTTATTTTGAAATATCAGATATAAGGGTATCCTGTAGATACTCCTTGAACCATTTAAGGCGCAGTTATTCAATCTAATTCCACAGTGATTCTGTCATCATAGCTTGTGCCTCTAGTTTGTGGACAAGTCTTTGATGAGGAAGAGTGTAAAAATTTTTTAGATATTTTTAGATATTCAGTCTCTTTATTCTTCTTTGTACTGCCTGATTTACGCCAATATTTCACTGAATTCCATTAGGTTCGTAAGACAGGATTTACCGTCTCTAAACCAGTGCTGGTGCTCCATGATGAAGATATTTCTCCCCAGATGTTACACCAATCTTCTTGTTCCTTTCCATATTTTTGAAGTTTGGTGCCCACTGTTCGCCTTCCAGCGGTTTGGTGGATCTTGTCTTTCCAGTGACTTATTGTAAACTCTTGCCAGTAACTCGGCAAGATGATCTTTCATCATAGGCGCTTTATAATATTAGATTATCAGAGATTAACCAAGGATGACGACGATGACTGAAATTCTTTTCAGTTATTTTCGAAAGTAGTTATTCAACATTAATTGAAACAAGTGTTTAATTATTGCAGCTCTGGACACTAGTAGCTGCTACCATGTCAATATCATTCTTCTTTAGTTTTTCACCTTTTCCCTGATAAGGGACAAACCTCCAATTTTACAATACATTCTTTATGAATAGACAGAAGAATAAACAATAAGGAATAAACAGTAGAATGAACGAGGGGAATCAAACCGTGGTCATGATGTGAAGTAGATCCAACACTTTACCACTGAGCTATGAATCTCTAAAAACAAAGATTTTAAAAACAGAACATCCGTTCCTGTTTCTGTCAGCTGTGTACCAGCTGTGACCCTACTGTCTCTTCCCACATCCCCAGAAACTTTCATGGTAAATCTATTCTCACACCCCTCTAAGCCGTATGGAATATAAATTTATGGTCTATATTGGTCTATTTTGAGTTTATAGACAATACGGTTCTGAGGGGTGTGAAAATAGATTTGCCATGAAAGCTTTTGTAGCTGAGGGAGGAGATACAAATAGTGCCGGTGACGGAAACATGAACAGAAGTTCTGTTTCGGAAATCTTCCTATTGAAAGCCTCATAGTTCAGCGGTAAAGTGCTGAACCTGTTACGTCCCAGGACCATAGTTTGATCCCCCGTCCATTTTTCTGCTGCGGAGGCGTTATTATTATTATTATTATTATTATTATTATATATATATATATATATATTATATATATATATATATATATATATATATATATATATTTATACATATATATATATATATATATATATATA